AAAAAAAGCGGGGAAACTCGCTACCACAACCTAATTCAAAACCTACGGCTGATAGCGAGGAGAAAATGAGTGAGTGATATTGAAAAAACAGTCAACTCGATTGTGCGTCAGAGATAGCAAAAGTAAAAAGAAATCAAAGAAAAAAATGACGGCTCACTCTCTTTCTGCTTTCCACCAATGAATTCGCATACATCTTCAGTTCTTTCACGGTGTCTAGATGAGAAGTCTCAAACTCCTCTTCCCCATCCTCCTAAAAATGCAATATTCCTGATACGTGTGTTTAATAAAATATTAAATATTTGAATGCAATACTTCTTTTGAAAAACCTCACCATAAATCTCCTTTTAGTTTTCTTTCCAGGTCTCATACGTGGCTGTTCCAAATCCCCATCTTCTGAAACTTGCAAAGTAGAAGTAGGCACATATGTAATTTAACGAAAATTGGCTTTCCGTTAAAATCCGATAAATTAAGACATTCACAAAAATGTATTCATAAACTAGATCAGATATTGGAACGAGTTAACTCAACGATACTTACCCAACGGTGAAGGATTGACCCATGGCGGACACACTTCATCTCTCCAAGCGTGGCGGCCGAACATGATCTAATCAATCACACCAATTACAAAAATGTTAGATTAAAAGGCATTCACCTTTTCATCACTAAATTAGAAGAAAAAGAGAGGAATCTTATAGTCTTAGCCAAAAACTGAGTATTGGGTAACTAATGTTAGCCGAAAAAAATAACAAGAGCATTTAAAATTTGGGAGAAAAAACCTCAAATGGTGTCCGCAATGGGTCGAAGAACTTAGAAGGACGTTGATTCTGCTCAATCACAGCAAATGGTAATGCTTCCACCCAGCGGTTCGTGGCGAGCAACTCGGTTTCGGCTCGTCGATATAAGGCGCGCACAAGATCCCGAGTTAAGTTACCCTAGATTAAAAACTATTTTAGAAACAGAAATTTGGCTACAAGATATCAAATAAAAATTCTACCCACTCCTACACCCATGTTTTTGATGGGAATTTTGAATAATCGTTCAATATCCAGCATAACATCTGCGATTACTGCTGTATAATCGGTAGAGAATGTCCTATACGCCTCTTAAATAAAATATTGTCACTACTATTAAGGTAATTCTTTGATGAAAATCACCAGGAGGTCCAAATGATCCAAAAATATCCATAACATGACGGACAATGATAGCTAGATCAGGACTGTC